CAATTGCCACCACGCGGCGCTGTGTGATGTTGTTAATGCGCATGAGCAGCGGATTATTGGCTTGTAACAATTACGACTAATGAGGGCGATAATGGAATTGGGGCTCGGAGAATTCAGAGCGAGGGGGAAACCTCCCTAATTGGTTGCTAGCTGCCTCTTCTGTCGGGGTGGAGTAATTAAGATTGACTCCAAGCAGCGGCTTTATCGATGTAAGCTTATAAAGGACGAGTAGTGTGTGTTGTACACAATAATGGACAGTCGGTTTGTGTTGAAAGTCGAACACAATAACGGGCAGTCGGTGTGTGCTGCAAATTGAGCACAGTAACGGACAGTCTGTGTGTATTTAAAGTTAAACGCAGTGACTGACGGTAGGTTTGTGCTCGGCACAATCACGAGAATCGAATTCGTACTTCCAACGTTCATTCATAACCTTTATTCTTTCCCGAGTGCACGCAGAGTGGACGTTCCATGATATTCTGCGACCATGAATAGTTTGTTACTCTGATCCAAATTAATTCTGCTGACATTATCCGTCTTCTGTCAGGGTTCCCATGGTGACTCAGGGCTCCTAACACCGTCTGTACCAGTCTCTCTTGTTTTCCGACCCCGTTCAGTGTTCGGGCGAGCCACAGTGGCTTCATTCCACTTGCCTTATCATTCACAATTTAGGCTTTTTATCATATAACGCTGTACAACCTTTGTATATGGTGTCGTGTCATTAAATAATCTAAGAAGCAGTCAAAATACCTGACACCTGGTGATTTGTCGTCAATTAGGCCTGCAGAAATATTTCGTTTTTGCATACACTAGGCAAGATTGTCTGTTGGATCAGCATTAACATAATCAGTTAAATTCGTGATATCGGAGAGAACAAGAAGTATATGCCGATGATATTGACTAATAAACTTATGTTTGCTAAGGAAGTTGGGTGTGGGCCCAAATTAGTTGGCCTACGGCCGGTCAGTGGCAATGGTAGAGTTTTGTTTCAAAAATGTTGCAATAGGCCCATCACAAGCGAGTTCGCCTTCTTTATCACATTGGGGCTGAGTGATCAGTTGGCTCTCGATGGACTTCTGTCTCCACGCGCATCCTGTCTACTGGCCGCCGCCATTGTGATTCCTGATCGATCGAAATGTGTCAGAAACTGATCCCTCGCCCTTGTCACGAAGGCAGTGATCACTTCCGAAACCTCGGTTAGTTTCTGGGAGACCGCACGGCGCAATATCCCATATCTTCATACTAGCCTCCGTGAGGACCTGACATCGTCTATATTGGAAAGCGTCTACACTTGATGCAGCGTCATCGTATTATCTGTTGCGCCACAGTAAGAATGGCATGCCAGCGTTGCGTGTTTGTCTTGCTTTGATTTTCGGCACGATGGAGCGTAGGCGCAAGTCATTAATTAGAGTTAACCTGCGTGGGGTAATTAGGAATCCACGGGTGGTGCAAGCGTGGGTTATCAGGAAGCTGTCAGCTGGACCAGCTACAGTTCGTTGCAGGTTAGGTTGGGTGTAGACGTAGACCTTCAGCTTGTCGCGATAATCTATGTCCACAAGACAGTCTACAGTCTATTTGTTAATCTACCTATGAGAATAACCGCGCGCACTGTCCACAAAACCCTCTTTTCGCTTTTCTTCAGGATAGCCTCTTACGGACTATAGTGCCCGCAAAAATCTTTGGGAGCCTCTGTTAAACTTCTATTTCAGGATAGTCTCGCACACATTGTAGTACTATCTGAAAAACAATTTTCCAACCTCTGTGCTAAGGCTACTTGTCAGGATAGCCTCCTACATATTCTAGTGCTGTTCACAATGCAGTCAGTGTTAGCCTCTGGTATGGTTTCTTGTCAGGTTAGGCTTGCACGTCCTATATGTTGGGAGGTCCATACAACGGTTTGGTAGCTGCATTATTATAAAACTGACTGAGCTTAACTCTCATCTCGAATTGTGGCGCCCCTGAGTAACCTCGAGTTTCGCTTTGTCTTCTCTCTCCTTGTGTACTGAGTTTGGTCGAAATTAGCCCAGCGGCGTAATGTCCTCTATTATGTCAAATCGTACAATCGTTTAGGGAACCCCCGAGGGACAATATCAACCTTGTCAAAATGTGAAAGCTCTACTGATTACCTCGGCTCGTTCTTGTCGTGTACGGGTTAACAGGGTGTTCCCAAACATGCAAGCTTTTCCTTACCATCAAGTTTTATCCTACACGTGTTTCTTGTTTATGCTAATGATGCTCTCAAGAGCGTGCGCATTGACGTCATCGTCACAGCCTCTTGCGTAATAAAGAGATGGGAAGCATCGCTGTGCAGTTTTCAAGATGGCGGTCGTAAAGCTGTAGCCAGTTGTTGCTGGAGTCTGCCCGCAGAACGCATTTTGGCAACGATTTTCAGAACTGAATTGTGTTTTTGCACATTTCGGCCTAACAAGAGTTCACAAACTGAAGTAGGCTATAAAAGTTTTACAGATGTGTTTAACGTTTTTTTGCCATAACTGATTTGCACTGAAATAGAATTGACGTAAACCTACTCCTTCCGTAGTTCACAGTCAAAGAAACCTTTAGATTTATCATTCAAGGGGCCTTGGATTATAGGACGTACTGAGAACGTTGTCCCATGTTTGTCATCTCATTTCCACTTATTCTTCGTTCCTAAAGAGCTACTCTTTCTGAAAATTGTACGTCATTCTAATATTTTTAAACTTCTTGGACTCTAAAAACACGTGTGTGTGACACCTGAACACACTTCCTAGTTGTGTTTTTATCTTTTCAATACGTTGTGGTGCCGAATAGAAATGTTGTTAATGTCTTAAAACTCCCGGTAGCGGTTCATCTGGACTTTGTCCTTGCCCACGGACTGTGGAAACTCATGATCACATCGGCGTGGAAACTGCGCGGACCGTCATTTGGGATTCCAGGCTTCTCTAATTCAGTGACAGAGAGAAGTTAAAAACTTATGTCGAAAACTTGCACCGTACTCGGTGCTGGACCAGTTCCATCCGCGTCCTTTCCCCACTGCCTGTCTTGCTAACATCCATCTTAATATTATCCTCCAGTCTCCTTCTCTAAAACAACGTGACCGTCTTCTGATGTGTTCCCTTTCAAATTCCATGTGCGTCTCTTGTCTTCCCTAACCTATCTACGTGCCCAACCCATCGTTCAACCTCAACATTAGGCTTTGAAGAGGCCTGCAGAAACACCGGCTTAAATCTCAGGTGTTCTTGGTATGAGAAAACTGAAATTATAGAATAACTTCGTCCTCCTTGGGTGCAAATAGGCTTATTCTTTTGAATACTTTGTTATAGAACTGTGGAAAGCGTTGTCGCGGAAGAATGCCTCTCTCCTGGTGTGGTCACGCACCTCATTAGTGTAGGAATGAAATCGTGGTTTCTGGGTTCACAGGTTTGGAATCGAGTACTGTTGAAGGGCGAAAGATGTCTGGGTTGCAACGACTGCGAGATGAACCCTGTGTGATAAAATGTGTGGCTTTGAATGCTGTAACAAAAGTAACGCTCCTTAACAATCAAATTCTCCTCCAGGCGTTCTCGGTTTCCTCACCCTCTGTCCGAACGCGTTCTATTTACTCATCTGCTTTCTGACGTCTTACACAAACCTGTGTTTACTTCCACACATGCTCAGATTAAGTCTTTTAGGTTTCTATCTTCTTCTGCCTGGTTGCCTAGCAACGGTTCGATTCCCGGCGGTGCCTGAATTTATAACTTGTGTTGGGCAAGATCGTGGTCTAGGCAACACGGGGTTTTCCTCCGGGGGCTTCCCCGGTTTCTCTGTGGCATCCCAACAATTACTCCATTCACACACAGAAGAAGGCAATGGCAAACCACTTCTGGATCATCTGCCAAGAACGTATATGAACAGGTCCCAGTCCGAGAAAAGGATGGAAGGATCCTGTTCATATGGACCTGTCGTCAGACAGAACACTAAATAATAATAATATTTAAAAATAAAGTTCTTACCTCAAAGAAAACACAACACGTCTCGATTACATACATCAGTTGGTTATACTGTTTTGGGAAACCTATAAATACACTCTTTGAGCAAACTTCTGCGTTGTTGAATGTTGAATTCTGATATACTTTAAGGGTTGAAGGTGCAAGGTTTGATTCCCGCCAGCGAAATTCTCAATCGAACCCCCCCCTCACCCCTTCGCTGAGGACAAGGAAAGGAACTTTGAATGAAACTCAGATATGCACATCTTATCTTTATTATTACAAAGCATGAATGAAATATGATACAACACCCTCATGACAAACAGGTTGCGCGCCGCTCCTGGCAACTCGAGCAGGTGTGAACCGCGCTCGAGTGAACGCACTGCTGCGTGCGAACAGTTCTGTTGTGACACATGCGGGCGTGATTAGCGTTCAAGCGAATGAACTGCTTTAAACCGCGCTCCAGTGACA